AAATATAGCTTCGAACAAAAACCGGAGCAAAATTTTAACAGTGCACAGAAAAGCATGGAGATATACACTTGCTTGGAGTTACACTGAGAGACAAGAAGATGTAACACGGTCGCGTTCATCTTCATGAGAGACCATGAGCCAATTGTGGAAAATCCACGAGCGTGTGGGCAGGGCTCTCCACAAAACAGCCACGAAACATTTATCGAATCCCAGTTTGAAAGTTAACTTTTTGGAAAAATTACATTTCAATCACACCTTCCGTATTATAACTACTGTACTATACACACAGCGTAGGTTGATATTCTTGCTAAGGTATAGGCGTTACACGCACACCAATTAGTGCCGAGGATGCCTCTCTGTGCAACACGTGTAGTTCCCCCACGATGGTCTCCAGCAGCTCCAGGAGGCCACCTTTGCGCAGCAGGGTGTCTCCATAAACTTCGTACTTTCTTTCCAAAGCGTCCATCCTCGCCGACAGCCTGGCCTCCACCTCGGCCATTCGCTGACCAAGTAAAGCCAAGGTCGACGCGGCTCTGTCGTGCAGGTCTGTCATCTGCTCCAGCGCATTGGCAATCCCGTGCACCCACACCTTGAGCGTTTTTATGGAGGCAGTGTTGTTGACCTTCCTATGAGAATACTTCATTATGGAGGAGCGTTGGCCTTGCTTAGTTTTTCTTGCAGGATGATCCTCTGGGCGTGTTCTCTCTGCCCGAGAAGTGTCGTGCTTCTCATGTTCAATAACAGCATCGCCATCCCCTGGAGTACATGAGTGACAGTGGTGGTCGTGGTACCTTTGGCTGGGCTCGCTGTGCTGAAGCGTTTTTCCAGAATCGACATCTTCTAGAGGAAGCTTCTGATCCAGCTCCGTGCGACTGTTAATCTTGGTGTCGTTGGATCGACCGGAGGTAGATCGTATTGCATACTGCAAGATGTTGTCAAAAAGTCTATTGACGAGAGCATGATGTTCCTTTACACGGCCTTTTCCATCGCCAACATCGCTGGCCATCACTTGTGCTTGCGTGAGTCTCGGCGCATCATGCTTGAACTTCTCGGATCCTTCACCGCTTGATAATTCTGTTCCCACAATCTCGCCGGCTTCCTTAGGCTCTTCGATTAAGCCAACTCTAAAATCAGGGCTTCTCGGACGAAAGCCACGAGGCGCATCGAGCCCATGCTTGGTCTTCCCTTGGGTTCGGTCTTTCGTGGCATTTCCTAAGGAAGCCTGGAACAAGGGGATGACGAGGATGATGAGTCGCAGGAGGACGACGCTGTCCATGGTGCTGAAGACGGCGTTGGCTCTTGCCTGTGTGATTCACGCAGGGCACCCCACTTTGTCAATTGTGTCACCATCTGTGGATGAATAATGACTGCCAAGGTATAAAATTGCACTAAGCCGATTTTGCTACACATGACAAAAGAAAAGTATTGCTTTGATCACGACAGTCCTGCTGGCCCGATTATTATTTAATTTCAGCAAATTAAATACGCTTTTGTTGTATGGTATCTCATAGCAATCTGTGCGAAGTGCTGTTCAGTTTATTGCTTTAAATTAGGTCGCTGTAAGTCTCCGCGCGGCATAAAGGCGTCCAAAGCCCATTCAGAGAGTCTTTCAGGATTATAATACTATATTAGAAAAAACGTTTTGCTGGCTGGCTCGCTATCTGGAGGGAGGGTGGAACGAACGGATGGACAGTCAAGTCCAAATGACGTGCGGGTTGCTTGTACTATATAAAACAATATTTTAAAAAATATATGTACGGTTCTAAATCTATCCAATGCTGGACGGAGGCCTTCCCACGTGTGGTTATGGGGGTTATTTGGCCATACTTCACATTTATCAGTGCGGGTTGGTGGAGGACCCGTTCAGAAGTCACTCGCGATGACTGTCATCCTGCATCCGAGTATAGCATGTGGTAATACAAAGGCGGAGCAATTTTTTTTATTAAAGTGTATCTATATAAACATTGTATCTTGTAAATATGTGAAATTCCGCGTTCTATTAGACATATAATCTATCCAGTAGCCTATTTATCTTAAGCATCTTAAGTATAAGCCTGGATTACAAGTTGATATTTCTTTAACCATGAATGTTCCATTGAGTGGATTTACAAAGGGTCATGTTCATGCACGTGTAACCACCCTTAAGCTTCGCGTACAGCATCTTAGAAATGTAAACGGCTACGTGTATATATTGAATGGTCTCTATATATGTGTTATTTTGAGTTAGTTGAGGCTTACAAATACAGTATAATAATCACGGCTGGGTGGCGCTGCGGATATAGTGATTGAACCAGAAGATTGTGATTAGGGTTAGATGCGAGTTGGGGTCAAATAAAGCCTATCGTTCCCGCGATGGCGATAAAACGAGTACCAATTTGTGGGAAATCAACACTGGCCTCGTCCCATTGAGAGTCTGGCCCAGCCGTGGGAATGTAAGATTTCCACCAATGGACCACGACTGCCAGCATAGTTGAGTACCGAGCAGGGAAACGACCTAAACATTACACAACGTACTCTTTGGTTTTATTCGGTAAAGTCACGTAGGTTAAATAAAATAATTAAATCACGACGTTTCGGAGGCAACACTAGCTTCCGTCTTCAGGTGGAACAGTCACAGCAGAATATCTGACACAGATATCTGACACAGATATTCTGCTGTGAATATCTGACACAGATATTCTGCTGTGACTGTTCCACCTGAAGTCGGAAGCTTCTGTTGCCTCCGAAACGTCGTGATTTAATTGTTTTCTTTTCTTTTACCTACGTGACTTTACCGAATTAAACCAAAGAGTATGAATCCTTGCAGTCACGAAGGCTTCAAATCTTGAATTACACAACGTGCTTTTGTAACTATTTAGATTCCCGTTATTACCTTTTACAGCACTGCCTCTGACCAAGTCAGCCACAATGCGCCCCATCCCATCATATTTCGGAAGATAAGCAGGGTTGAGCCTGGATAGTACATGCACGGATTGGAATCCAAAATGCATAATAGGTGCTAAGGGATGCGGGCCTACGTGGTGGTTCGCAGACCACATTGCAAACAAATCGTGTTGAATTTTAATTCGACGCTACCACGTATTTTGTCTCCCGCCTTCAGCAATCAGTACTGACCAGGTTTTCCTGGGTTCGATTCCCGACTGAGACGCATGTTCTCCTTCTCGCCTTAGCGATGCATAGTCCAGCATATTCGAAGAGCCCAGCGTTGTGGTTCAAGGGTTTGTGGATCAAGTAGAGATGTTTGGAACTTTTGATTTAAAGCTTTCGTGACTGCAGTAATTCATATTCTTAGTTTTTTCGGTAAAGTCACGTTGAAGGGAAACAACAAAATAATAAAATATATATAAAACAATAAAAAAATTCTCACGACGTTTCGACCATAACTCAAATGGTCGTCTTCAGGTGTGTTGGTTTGCATATTTTTTTTTAAACGGCGCATTTATTTATTTATTTAAAAAACGTTAGCGCAACGATTTGGCAGTTTATTTAGGACTAGTCCATCTATATTCTGAAAAGAGGAGGGGGGAGACGAAATTTTTTATAATGTATGCTGTCTGAAAGCCACTGTAAGCGTGAACAATCAATTAAGACCTGAAATGGTTTATCAAATCTTTCCAATGATTGCTAAGATAGAATCCATCTTCTCGGTTGAAATTGTCTCTGTGCTTGTATATGTGGATAGCCTGATGAACGAATCTCTCATGGAAGCCAGGTTCTTTGTAAGCCATCTGGCTTCCATGAGAGATTCGTTCATGAGGCTATCCACATATACAAGCACAGAGACAATTTCAACCGAGAAGATGGATTCTATCTTAGCAATCATTGGAAAGATTTGATAAACCATTTCAGGTCTTAATTGATTGTTCACGCTTACAGTGGCTTTCAGACAGCATACATTATAAAAAAAATTCGTCTCCCCCCTCCTCTTTTCAGAATATAGATGGACTAGTCCTAAATAAACTGCCAAATCGTTGCGCGTGGCGCTAACGTTTTTATAAATAAATAAATGCGCCGTTTAAAAAAAATTTATGCAAACCAACACACCTGAAGACGACCATTTGAGTTATGGTCGAAACGTCGTGAGAATTTTTTTATTGTTTTATATATATTTTATTATTTTGTTGTTTCCCTTCAACGTGACTTTACCGAAAAAACTAAGAATATGTTTGGAACTCTAAAAGCTGATGGTCTGCGGCATGATATTTGTTGCTATGTTTGATTATTTATATCTTATCTAACCCCCCCCCCTTTATTATGAATAACATTGGCCGCGAAAGCCTGCCTACGTGTTCAACCAATTTAATACAGCGCGTTAACCCAATCTAGATTTGAGGTTTTCGTGACTGCACGGATCCATGCTCGATGCATACTTTTCGATTGAAAGCTTTCGTGACTGCAAGGACTCATCTTCTTTGGTTCTTTCGGTAAAGTCACCACGTAGAATGAGAATAAAATAATAAATTGATAAAATAAAATAACACAATAATATTCTCACGACGTTTCGTCCACAACACAAGCGCAGAATGAGAATAAAATACTAAATTGATAAAATAAAATAACACAATAATATTCTCACGACGTTTCGGCCACAACACAAGCGCTTGTGTTGTGTTATTTTATTTTATCAATTTATTATTTTATTTTCATTCTACGTGACTTTACCGAAAGAACCAAAGAAGATCGATGTATATACTCTTTGGTAAAGTCACGTAGGTATAAAAAAAATCTTAACCGAAAGAACCAAAGAGTATGCGTTAAACCAATTCAATACAGCGCGTCGAACACTTCCTCAATTGTCGACATCAGATAAGTCAATGGCCACGCAAATCGCAATGCCCTCTACCCCCCCGCTGACGGGATTTGATCCGCTGTGCCGACTTCGTTGTTGAGTACCGTAATACTCCGCATAGCGGCGGGGGACGCAATTCGAACGGCCTGCCCGCGGCGCAACAACCGCCAGGGCAACTCGAGACGAGTGCGCGCCGCTACTTGGCGCATTACGGCGGTACAAATCTCTGCAGTCCCGCATAGCAACGGGCGGCGACGCGCCTCGCGGACGCAACACAAGAAGCCGTAACACTTTGTTTTTTTCGTGTGAGTTTAAAGGCACAGGTCTAACGAGCGCCGGCAAAGCGAAGTTTCCCTGCGGCACCTCAAAGTGACTTAGGGGATGGGTGGGGTGGAGCGGTGGGGGGGTGTGATAAGTGAGATGGTCACTAAAAAAAAAGTGATTTAAGACCCACGCGGAGCCGGTGAGTTGTTCTTCTGTTGCGCCGTTCTGTGTTTACTTTTAACGACTCAGCCGCGGCCACGTTCGGGTCACTTACATTTAAGACGCTACTGACTGTTTCAGAAACACTGTGTGTACCATGTTCAATCCACCGTTTTATAATGCGTGTTGTCATCGTCGTCGTTATCATTATTATTGTTGTCAGCGCTTGATGTCCAATGTAATATTCTCAAGGACAACCACAAAACCGCCAGCTTTTTCGGAGCAAACATTTTTTTCGAAGCTGTGTCCTGGATAGCTCCGCCGTCTGCAATGAAGCCCTGGTGACTGTAATATATTATATTCCGTATGTCCTGCAGTACAGCAAGGGTTGGTGGACGACGTAGAGAATTGTGGCATTTAAAATGAAAAGACCCGAGGTTGGCTTGCGCGTGTGTGGCAGTACAGCAAATACTGTGTTTTATGAACCCATCTGTGCGGTCGTATGCAGTGTTTTATCGCTCATTGTGTTTCGTGGGTTGGGGTTACTCCGGGCACTTCCGATGTCCTTCCACGCGAACGAAAGCCACGGACGAATGTGGCCAAACATTGCAATGCAGGACCCTCCCCGAAGATGAGCCTTGAGACTCAATAAGGCTTTCATAGGTAAACAAGTTATGGTAATCACCCGTAAGAAATCAGTTTACTTTGCCCTGCTGTGATGTACTGCGTATCCAATTAGCCCATTGTCTGTGCATGTGTAAGTTTACGCGGTGCGTGGGTTTGTAGCAAATTGTAGTTGAGAAAGGCATTGTGTTCTAGCTATGATCTAATTATGTACAATTTGTAGTGCCTACAAGGGCTTATAATTATAAAAGAGTCCTCAACGCTGATACACACGCAACAGGTAAAGGCGCAGGGCTGCAATTACCACTTACTTTTCTTATGCTATCCGTTGCACGCGGTTGCACTTTATTTTTGCGCGCAGTTTCAATTTACTTTGCTCAGTCGGTGTTAGCCGCTGAGGTCATGATGAGTCTCTTTTTCTCATTCCTATTGCTCTCTGCCCCCCCTTGTATCGCTCCCGGTTCAGCTGTAATGGTGCACCGATGCCCACTTTATTGAGGGCGATATTGGCACGTAGAATAAAGATTGATCGATTCACTAACATAGAGGACTACAGAGCTTGGGCAAATTTTTACGCCTGCCTTCCTGGTTGTCTGTGGTTCCTCGCGCCTGTGAGCGAATACTGTGCGAGTTGCAAGTTGAAATTATGTTCGTAAAACGTAATCATGTATAGCCGTTTGTCAATCACTGCTGGATCAAGGTCTCATTACCGCGCCGTGTTGGTCGTGTCGTGGAAATGTTTTGACCTTAATAGGTAAGCCACGCTGGTTGGTGAAGGTGGTAAGGTCAGAACCGGTCCAGATGTCGCCAATGATGGGAGGTTTGGCCGGGAATTGGAACTCACGTGGCTGGGTTCATAGGGCAACTACTGCGCCACCAGTTAACCCTGAGTACATATTGTATTGTACTGTGTAAACAATACTACGTTCTTATTTCCCTTTACACAATGTTGATTTGTATTATTGGGTAACTCAAGTGTAATGTTTTTTTTCCGTTTATATGTTTTTCCAAGTATTTGCTCCTAAGTTGATTGGGGGCTTTGCTGTTATCCATTCTGCATGTCAATCACACGTTTTATTATTTTTACCAGGTAAAGCCGACTGACCTATTTACTTCTTTCTCAGGAGCGACCTGGCCTCAAATGATAGCGCAATCAAGTGGCTTGTGAATGGGACTGTATAGCAGCCAAATATTCTAACCGCAGGTTCCAAATTGTGGACAGAAAAAGCGGAGAATTTACGTGAGCAATGTGCAAATTGTGTTTTGTATTTTGTATTGTCCAAGCAAAATGTTTTTAATGTTACTTAAAATGCTACTGATGCACGTGCATTGTGATCTACAACTGTACTCACGATTCAATACTAATTCTTCAACAGAAAAGGTAACTTCAGGTACAACTAAGCAATACATTCTAAAGTTGTCCTGCGTTAATCATACGATTCACAAAACATCCGAAACACACACACACAGCAGTGTGCAGTTGACAGCAATGAATGCATGTGTTACTTACACATATTGACATGACAGCTGGGTTGACGTTAGGGTTAAGCATATTACCACTTACATGACCCAGGGCAACAGGTCCTCAACTCACTTGAAGCTGGAGTGAAAAGGCTGCAACATTTCAAGTTTTTGAATGGCCATTATGATGATGATTTAAAGAGTCCAGCTAAGTGTGGTGTAGAATGTAAATGGAATGCAGACTATTCTTAAACGGTACCATTTTGCTGCATGATAAATCAACGTGCTGATGAAATTTATTCATAAACTTGCACCTTCAACAAGTTTTTATATTTTATTTCATTTGTACAGTATTGTGTAATATATAGAACGCTTGGAATCATGAAATTACTGTAGTTAATTTTACTAATACTAAATAATTATATGTATTATTTAAACAGAAAATCCGATTTGTTTTTACATATTTAGGAAGCATCTGCATTGGTGTGTTTGACCGATTCAATAAATGAGTATTTGGCACGAGCAGAAAACTGGCGTTACAGCATCTGTAAACTAAACCAGACACATTGAAGGGGTAACACTGCCACATTCTGGCCACCTCACAACCACGTGCCTGGTGGTTCCCTTTACAATGACTAGCCAGGCACAGCCCTGCTCTGCCTCCGAAAGTCATTGAGGTTGGGCACATTTCAAGTGATTTCACCATAAGATATTTTCTCAAAGCAGTATTTATTTATCTCGTATATATATTCACTTATTCCTAATCTGAAACACACCAGTGATCCATCTCACCAATGATTGTATAACACGGCAAAATCCTAACTATAGAACGCTCTACGGTATTGCATGGAATTCTTATTAGATGTGTTTTTATAATAGTCGATTTGCAGTCAACACTGCCAGACCAATTACTGTTTGATTGCTGGCATTAGATGCCATTTGCCCAGCAGGAGGCAGATCTGTCTGTGCCAGGCTGCCATAAGGCAATCACAAGCAATTATTCACGATATATGGACGATGCCAACTATGAGCAGTGCGCAATGTGGAATTACCATCAATGTATGTTTTTCAGCTTGATATTACAGAGGTGTAGCTGGGAACATTTAACAATGAAACTAAAACACATTTCATATCTTTTGAAGGTCATGGCAAAGCGTCTCCCGTGAAGCAAATTTTGGCAGTGCAGTATAAGCTGAATAGGAGCACAGTTCACGTAAGCACAGTTATGATATAAGCAATGCATCCTTATATGACACTGGTGAGGGGACAGAAAATGGAAACTTAAGAATAAACATTAAATTTGGATATAACCATTGCTGGACAAACCAGTGTGTGTTGTGTAAGCTGTCAGCATACTGCGCTACGAACCCAGCCGAGTTCCATTCCCGCTTATGGCCAACACCAATGACGATTATCTGAGACGGTCCTAGGCCTCCCCTAGGTCGACTCAGTCTCATATACCTGGTGTGGTGTGTAAACATTGCCACTAAGGAGACAGAGTCGGCCGGGCGTGGTGCTGGCCACCCACCCCCACGCGTGCTGTTCCAGCCTTCATAGGCGCTCGCTAACAGCACTTGCCCCAAGTCTCTTAAGGCTATACGGGGGATTTTTGTCCTGTCTAGACTTTTTTCCCAAGGAGTGTGTGGAAACCCATCCTCTTTTGTTTTAATAGAAACCAATCTATACGCCTTTGGTAAGAGCATAAGCTTAAAGCGCATACCCATCCATATGCATGTTATCCAGTGCTTCTGAGGCATGGGTTGGTGGATCACTTTGAGATTTGTGAAATCCCAAAACCACCAGCCTACAAAGTGACCAGGAGATAGTAATCCAGCAAAAGGCTTCTAAAACCCATCCATGTGAACCCTTTACTGTTATCGCCTTGTATGAATAGGGGTTCTGCTTGTATGGCAGTTTCTTATCACATGCATAACACTCCTTAACACTGATATAACCAAACATCCCAATTCAGGAACCGTAGGAAAAATAGTATTGGGACTCGATGAGGCTTTCCTTGAATACATTACACTAAATAGTAAATATATAATTAAATTAAGATTGAAAACTAATTTCTTTAGAACAGCTTTTTGTGTCTAGTTTGTTCCTTCCCCTCACCTCCGATTAGCACGGTTGGCTACATATGGTGCGAAAGAAGTTCAACACACATACATTACTCTATCGTACATATGTGTTTACTCCTGACGTGAAAGCATTTTGTTGTATATACAGTAGACTGCACGTGCACATTAACACACTCCTACCTGCCACCACTCACCCACCCTCCACCCAAACGTCACTGGATTTACGTAAATTGAAACAAACCCTGCGGCACAACTAAGCATCGTGGACATGGTGACGGCCACACCAGTGATTGTGGCCATTTGTCAATCATGTACGTCTGTAGCAGGCATTGCGAGGTTGGCAATCGGCATCCGCTGGACATGCGGGAAGCAACCACGGCAGGCGTGGACGCTGACCCCAAGCTGCGATGCCACGCGGTGCCCCGGGAGCTCACAAGCTGCGGGCGTTGCCAGGCGTGCGTGCTCACCGGCTGGCTGGACCGAACCACGGCCTGGCTGGGCCACTTGGGACATTCAGCCCAGAGAGACTTCGTGGCCGGCCTTCTGCTGCGCACAAGAGCGAGGAAGTCTCTGAGTCAACTCGCCCAGACGATCCAGGTTGGCCAGCATGCAGCAACATTGGAGTGGAGGAATTAGTCATTCGAACAAAAAACATCCTTCACAAAGGAAAATAATTATCAGTAATTAAACATAATTCTCAAATTATTGTTTTTGCTTATTCTCAATTGCATTCCATTTGTGCTACTGGCGCCACGCCGTAAGACAAAGAGATTTACGTTTGGAACTCTGCAGCTAGCGGCTCATCACACTGTGTCAGAAAATGGGCTGAGAAGATAAGGCTTCAGAACTGTGAGGTCTCTTCAATCGTCCTCTTTATCCCCACTGGTTTTTTGTGCATTCATTGGTGGCCGGGCTGAGATCATCATTTCTTTACACTCGAGAACCCAGTTTAATGGCAGCTGTCTGCTTGGATTAGAACCCGGGATCTCAACCAGTGCCAGCTCAGTACTGTGACTAATATATTTCCAAAATATCTCGGATATTAACGAAAACCATTATGATGGCTGTGTAACACCTCCCCCCCCCCCCCCCCCCCCCCAGCTTCCAGCCCTGGCCAAAGACCTGACGTACGCCCGATCGGTCATTAGCTGGCCGACAGCCAGCAACCTGCTCGTGTGGACGGACGTGCCGGAGAGCCTGCGTGGCGTGGAACACCCCGGCAGGGAGGCTTCCCGCGCGTGGCAGTGGTTCTCGTCCGCCGGCGTCTGGAGCCAGGCCCTCTTCCTACTGGGAGCGCTTCGTGCGTGCGACCCATGCCTCTCCCTCGAGCTCAGTGAACTCGTGCAGGCGCTCGTGGAGCGGCAGCATTGCTGGCGAACAGGTGAGCACGGTGCCTGGAAAGGTGCCACCACCCGATTGGTCATCTGCCTCCGATGTGTTTTCAGGTTACGTAGCGCGTTGTTCGGCATGACGTGCCGTTTTTCACTCGGCGTGCCAGGAGCTGCTCTGGGGAGTGAACATCTGGCCAAACATCAGGCGGTGCAAGCCGAGCAAAACACTCCTTAGCAGTGATATAACCAAACATACCAAATCGGGAACCATATGAAAAATAATATACAGCAGTAATGGCTTGCCATGTTACGGTGAGGTAAAAAAATATCATTATTACTAATATTACGAATATGGCTTTTGGCTAACCATCGAACGCACTGCATCGCACGCTTTCAGATGCCTTGCGGCCGTCTGGAATGCTCTTCCGATATTAGGAAGCCACTGGAGCTATGCACTTTTCATTCTAGATTGAAAACAAATTTTTTTAGAACTGCTTTTTGTGTTTAGTTTGTTGTCCTTCCCCCGCACTTCCGATAAGCATGGTTGCCTACATACAGTGTGAAAGAAGTTCAACATACAGTACATACATTCATTGTTTTATTGAAGGAGGTTACCTAAAAATCACCATGAATACACTTTTTCTGGACCATAGGATATCTCATGTATGTAGTATGTACAAATTATTTATTTCAGGCAATGACCACATATGGGTGGCAGAGTGTCACCCAACTAGCTGGATTAGATTATAATATTACAGTATAATATTAATTAAATAGTTCACGGCCCGTTGTCCATCCACTCCTGAATGAATGCCTCCCCTTGACGATGTTGGTTATTGTGGGCTTGTGAAGAGGGAGCCCCAGAACTAGTTCAGATATCATTCTCCAACGATGTTAGCTGTGGCCGGGAATCAAATTATGGTCGCCACTATACCAGCCCCTACACCACCGCTCCATCGCCTCCACCATTCAATATCCAGACGACGTCAGTATGCTATGTGTGCGCATGAGTTGCATCCATTGGTGCACGTAAAACATTTGAATGCTAAGGTTATATTCAACATATAGACAAAAGGAAAATGGTGCGTATTTTGAAATAAGAATAACCTGACTGTGTGCAATCACATCTTCCAGAAGAAGAAGAAGAAGGCAGGCATGGAGGAGAGGAGGAAGAAGAGGCAATTGGCGAGACTCGAAGCTCAAGTGACAGCTTCCGGACAGAAGATCATCCCGACTTGCAGCTGCTGGTGGCTGCCAGACGGGATTACTGCGCCATTTCACCCGGCATGGTGCCACCGAGCCTGCGCCGAAACATCGTCGGTGTCATGGGTACGTGGAGATAGCTTCCGCTCATTTTTTTTCCCCACGGGGATTTTCAAGCGCGTGCCGTATTTTCCCATGCCGCCTGCGTGACGGCGTGCAATGGTGCGCTCATAGATTGACGTTTCCTGGAGATGTGGAGTGGCACATCCATTATGAAGTCGAGAGGTCAATTTTGGACTGCGCTACGTTGTTTCACCCATGCACAACCCCTGTTACCCCACGTCTGTCAAAATGCTTGAACCCGTGTTTTTTCGATTGAAGCACATTTTAACACGTCGCCTTTCGCAACCAATATTATCCATAATAAAGGTTTTTGGGTTAGATTCGCGTTTATTATAAATGTGTCGCAACCCTCCACCACCCGTCACGGCCAATCAGTAAAAAATGTGTCTCGTTGACACAAGACAAATAGTTCACTGCTTTAGCCCACCGGTGTGTTGAAGAGTGAATCCACAACATTTTAAATTTTTGAGTACGACGTTTCGCAGGTAATTACATCCAGCATCATCGGGCGATTTGCCAGAATTCTGAAGCCCTACACCCACCTGCTCCCGGTCTTAAATAGAGCAGCAGGGTGACGTCATCATTTAATGCTGCTGCCCCGTGTTACTACCGCCGCTGTCACACCTTCAGTGATAACTTTCTACAGTCGCTACTGCTGTTGCCCCGGGTGACTACCACCGCTGTCACTCGCTTGTTTCATACGGACAGATGTCGTTAATGCTGATACGTTCATTATTTAGTCTGTGCTCAAATTCTACGGGAGCATGCTGTGTGCCGCAAATATAGCAGATTTTATTTAAAATTATTGAAAAAAAATATTGTTAATTTTGCAATGAAAAAATCTTGGAAAGTTCATCTTCGGTGTTAATTTTTCTCACCTTATGAATATGTTTTTTTAAATTGTTATTAACATGACTCTGCCTCTTTGTATATGCACTGTGCCTATCCTTGCCATATAAATATATTTATTCCAGACGATATCTTGGTTACATGTTTTTTCATACAAACAAACAACATGGTCACATTTTTGTCGTAATCTCTTTAGTTTTCGTAGGCATACAGCCCTGCTTAGGCTGCATGGTGACCATGAGATGGCATTATATCAATAAATCATTGCATACATCTGTGCAGAGCTTTTGAGCGTTACCCTCTTGTATTTCTGGGCACTCCAGTTTCCTCCGACACGAAATTGCTAAATATCCGAATACAGGCGCCTCCGAAAAACTATAGTCTAGAATCAATGAGGCTTTCCTTGGTCAAGAGCATTATTATAACTAGATTTTTTTTATGTCGTATTTCTCTAATTGGCACTTTACTCACGTACAGAGCTTTTACGTGGATTTCCATAATGAAAGCCCACATTGTTATGTTACAGAAGATGGATTTAATAACGTGAGAACAACAAAATCTTGGGCCAGTCTCAACTCGAAGGCAGAAGTTTTGAATAACTTTTATGCAGAAACATGCTGCCCTGGTATTTATGCGCTTGGCATCCTTAGAACTGAATTTTGAGAATGCATGTTTGGAATTATAGAGATGATAAATGCATTTCTGAAATTGGTAACATGCTTTGTGTTTCTAATAGTGTCCAAAAAATGTTTCAGCTTTGTGTGGATCCCAGTTCAGGGCATGAACGTCTGTGGGGGGGGAGAGAGAGACGGTGCGGGGATGGTGTGTAAAGTTCACAGCTGTCTCTCCCCCTTCAGGGTCAGAGGTGATGCTTTATTCCAAGAAGAGCAAGACCAAGATACGTAGAGATCGTATTGGAATGGAAACCTTCCCAAGGCACCTTGGTGGTGTGGGAAATCAAAGGGACTTAATCCGGAGCCTTCCTGTGCATCTCGCCAAATACATATTGGGTAAATACCGCAATTGCAAATGGGCCAAAAATATTTGTATATACAGTAAAACCTTGGATTGCGAGTATCTTGGTCTGCGAGTGTTTTGCAAGACGAGCAAAAATTTTAAATAAATATTAATGTGATAAACGAGCGAGGGTCTTGCAATACGAGTAGTACGTATACGCTTTGTCTGCCGAGCGTCACGTGATCACAACTGATATACGAGTGCTTTGATATACGAGTGCTTTGGATAACAAACACGTTTCCAGAACGAATTATGCTCGCAATCCAAGGTTTTACTGTAAATATAAACACATTTTATTTTTGGCAAATATGAATGTTAATGAGCTCTAAAACGATGTGTTGGCTTACAGTAAATGCCTAGCAAACTGTTATTGGTATAAACAAGTGTATACTCTGGTAAGAAAACATGACAAAACATGTTAAATAACTAATATACACAAAATTACGGCTATTTGTAGAACGTTATATGTGTATACGTTTGTAAATCAATGAAAATTTTGCAGGATTTAATGATAGTACATTTCTCCACATGGCAACGTTGGACATGCGTAGTGTGCACACAGCTCTTCCAACACGACTGTTTCAATATGCTGCTGTTGCTCTCTCCAATGTAAAGTCAGGCATTTGAGGTCTAAAAATACACGTATGATAACTTAGAGGTGTGCTATTCTTGGCAGGCATAATTAGCAGTGTGCATCGCTGTATAAGATTCATTTTCTGTCATTTTATTTCCCGCATACCAACTTTGACAAACCATTTTTTTGTGTTAATTTTAAAATCGAGTCATCGTAGTTATGCGCCATCGTAAGCTTACCATGACCAGCAGCCACTATGCCCAGTCTACCGCTACATAAAGATCTCTTCAGATATGCGCTGCCAGTTGCCGTAATAGGTTTTAGAGGGGCAGCCAGTAGCAGTATATCATACCGAGACCCCCAGATTCAGTTTGAGACTGCTTTTAAATGTCCTGCCACTGTTATTATAAAGACACACCTAAGTTATTCAATAAAGTTCACGTAAATATGTGTGGACAATACCGGGAGTGACGTAGTTTCGAATCGCTGTCATGTTATCTTTAAAAAAAAACTACACCATACCTCCTAATGGTAGGTTAACTACTGTTGCCCTATGAAGAGACTGTCCCTTGTCAATGCAATATGGAATTTAAACCACTTGTGCAGGGAGGGCTTCAAGTGAAGAAGGGGGATGCTGCAGGGAAACACTTCGATTATTGACCAACTGTGCGTACATCCACCGTGAAGCAAGAGAACCCACATGCGGCTCTTTAAGGACTGCTCGTGACGCAATTTATTAAGGACCCACCGTCTCGTATTCACACGCATATGGCGGCTCGACAAAAAAATGTCTCTTCTTGTTATTTTGGTTGCCGACCCCTGGGTTATACAATGTCCTAGCAGATACTTGTACGACATGCCTGCTCTGAGCAGTGGTGACGTACCCGTGTAATCGCACAAATGGTTTTGTGGAACTCCCTTCCCGTGGGCGTCGAGGAGGTGCCATACCCTCGCTCGCCAGGAGCAAGCAGTACAGCGAGTGGTCCAACCGCCATCTGTTTCCATCTGTACGGGGATAGAGTTTTGCCCCCTCGCACGTGCGAGTTTTCTCCGGGTGCTCCAGTTTCCTCCCACCATCGCACCTCCGATTAGCACGGTTAACTATTTATGGCCCGAAAGAAGTTTAACATAGATACATACATACTCCCACGTGTATAGAAGCTCATTAATTGGCTTAAAATACACTTAGCATAAAATGCAACGCAGGACACTCCTGAAAAAAGTTCTACGTCTCAATGTGGCTTTCCTCGATGAATAAATTAATTTTATTTTCCCCACAGGTATATTGGACCAGGCGTCATTGTCGGCTTGCCGGCACGTGTCACTGCACTGGCGGTACCTCGTGACGGAGGTGCAGAAGGAGAGCATCGTCAAACAGGTGGTCAGGGACGAGGCCATGGCATTGCAGGTAAAGCCTCCCATCATTTGAGCATAGCCTGCAATGTCCAGGAATCCTCAAGCTGCTCCAGCTCTGCAGACACAAATGCTGACGAAATCGACTAAAATAATGACGTCATCTGTCATTTATTTCTCACGCCATATCAGTCCAAAGCCACCTTTGCCACTGAGCATAGTTATCGACGTTCAATATACAGCATCCTCTATCATCCACTACCCATTAGGGTTTCCACCTCTGAGGTACAGCAAAAACTGAGACATCATGGGAAGAAGTATATCACACCTCCGATTAGCACAGTTGACTACATGCGGTGCGAAAGACGTTCAACATGCATACACACAAAACCAGGATAGGGGAGGACTATGAGTAAATTAATTGTCTTGAGCAGTCTATTATTACGCAACTCAGAAAAACTATAACTTTTAATATCCCGGAAGAATGGAGGATATCCTAGGGCTGCTGCCCTCAACAAGAGCATGATCCTGGGAAACCACAGACAGGTGGCAACTGCAACCACCATCAACATTGACCATCATCAATGGTGCCAATGACTTAGACGAGAGGTAGCTGCAACATGAAATAGCCCGTCGAGTAGACAAAGTCTCTGACATGGGTGGAGGAATCAACGAGTTGAATTCACGTTTTCTGTTGGTTTCACGTGACCCCCTATTGCCACAAGAGGCTGCTGCGTTGACCACTGGAGAAAAATCCCAGATTCTTGACTCATTTGGCCGCCCTGAGTATTACTGTGGCACAGTATTAACCGTAATAACACTACGCGCCATCCGCTTCACAGCAGACGTTACGTCATTCATAAGAGGGGGGCATTGTGGGCCCCGGATCAGGGTCAATATTTGCCAAATTCGGAAATTACACCGCACATTGCTCAATTGGGATTACAAATTGCAAACATTGCCCCCTATTGAGAGACCAATTTCCCAGATCAATCTTGCAAATTGGACAATCCTGATCTCTGGAACTCTCGCCTCATGAAACAAAGTAAACTTGAAACTATTGTTTACTTCTGCGTCTCAAGAGCACTGGCGTTCACAATTTAAGAGCTAATGTTTCAGCCACATGGTCGAATATATGAACGAACCACCCCTGCTGTACTTAGCGCTGTTATTTCTGAAAGCAAACAAAGTGCAGTACTCACATTGCTGAATAATTTGGGGTATAATCATAAATAGGTTAATTAACTATTATCGATTCTGAAGATCATGGAATATGCATTGAACTTCTTGTGTAAAAGTGAATGTATTTTGATTCAAAAATGTTTTATGTTGGGAACTGCTGTGGTGTAATGGTTAGCACATTGGACTTGCAATCCAACGGTTTCCGGTGTGACTCCGTCTCCCAGCACAGCAGCAGGTGAAATAATCATGGAAATTTCTCAAAGCCCACCCACCTCTATCAACCTAGCAGTATAAATGAGCATACAACAAGCAATTGCAAGGCTGCACCTTTACCTATTTATATATGCCGTATGCAATGCGTTTGAATTATGAGGCTTAGTGGCTATACATTTGAAAAGGAATGCCGATCGTGTTGTGATTGTATTTTTAATAGGGAACATCAGCCAAGAGGGTGAACCCAGTGTACGCTAGGCTACGAGAGGTGGAAGTACCAGCGCTCGCTGAAAATGGATTGGACCTCATCTCCACTGGAGATATGGCATCTCACAGCGCTTCCACCAAGGTGGTCACTCTCAGCGACACTACACAAACTCGTTAATGTTAATAATTTGCAGCCCTCCGTCAATCCATCACTGGATGAAAGCCTCCCCACGCCGTGTTGGTCATTGGGATTGTTTGGCCAAACTTTGTCACGCTGGCCATTGCTGGTTGGTGAACGGACGGGTGGTGGGGAGGGGTTCCATGATCGGTTCAGATATCACTTACCACTGACGTGCGTAGCTCCGGCTGAGAATCTAACTCGGGGCGCCAGCTTCGTAGCGCACCCCGGCTCACCGCCGTGCCACGATTCATATTAATACGGTTGTAAAAAATCCACTGTCCGTGGGATTCACAGATAATCCATTTGTGAATGATGTGACCAACAGGACTTAGCAACAACTAGCAGGCTTAAGCTCTGCGATCCATTTTGATGATTGAAACCAAATCCATACCGGCGAGGGAATGTGCCAATAAATGACAATGATCTGTAAAGATAGGCAACGTAAGATACACAAACAATATTTCTCCTTCTTACGTCTGTTTCTCCACGTTACAAAAACTAAAGTGTATTTTCCAAGCCATCAGCCCAACAGCCTTCTGGGAGTGCATTACTTCAGCTGCATTGGTTCAGTCCTGGCAATTTATGGACTGGTTTTGACACAAAGCTTCTCATCAGCATAATCGGGCTAGGTTGAATCAATCCTGGTGAACTGCCAGATGTTATAGTCAAGGACACTTTCTTCAAGATATAGGTCCTAGTTCGATACGAAATGTTGTAATGCATAAAAATAATAATTTGTGTCGTTCTGGAGAATATAAATAACAAAATAGACGTTCAAACCGGTCTATAGTTTGCTTGTACTTATTCAATGCTGCTGAAATGATGCACTCCAAGAAGACCGTTGGGACAATGTGTTCTGTAAGATATACTATCGTGTTTTTTTTTACGTGGAGAGACATATATACGAAGGAGAAATGTAGTGTGTTTACCTTTTTAATTGATAATTTACACATAGAAGCTAATGGTCATTTTCGTGACATGTAAAGACGGGCTTACGGATTGGTTGTGTTTGCGTTTTGCAGGTGAATAGCGGCTTCTCCTCTGCACTGCAGGGCATTGCTACACGGGTGGTACACATGGAGGAGAGGAATGTCTACTGCAGCCCTTACAACGTCCTCATTGTCCTACAAAAGTAAGAGTTGCTGTTTGTAAGTAACCGCTGCTTGGTTTATTCTTCTACGTGGCGCGTACACGTACCGTCGGTGTACGCACTTCATTGGCAGTGGTGTGCAGGCACGAGTTAAACACTCTTCAGAATCATACTGGAGGAATCCGATGGAATCCAATGAGCTACAAAGCTCTTTTTCACAGATGTCCAGTAGGGGCGGGGTCAGAACGTGACAACAACTCAGAACGTGACAACAACTCAGAACGTAACAACAACTGGCCGTCAACCTACTGTGCATGTTTTCCCTATTAAGGCAGTGTTTATGAGTTGTTCATGAATGTCAATCTCTCCATTGTAAATAAGGTACGTTGTCACCGTGTTATGGTGCTGACATATGTATTTTAAGCTCGTCATAATTCACGCCCTCACAGTTCGATGAATTGTCACAGTTTTGGGGGGCTGCGATTCGATTAAACAATTCTATGATTTGTTTTTCTCCTGTGGCCAACGTAGCAGCCTCTTGTGACAATAGGGGTCAGGTGAATCCAATAGGTAATGCGAATTGCACACATTGCTTCCTCCACCAATGTCAGGGACTTTGTGTCTACCAGACTGGCTATTTCATTTTGGCTATTTCAACACCTTCAATGAGCACGCTTGGCTACGTATGGTGCAAAAGAAGTTCAACATCCATACACATTTTATCCATATTGTGTTTAACTGCTATCCTGCAGGTCACAACACCTATCAATCTGCTTCTTTCCTTGCACTACTCAACTTTGGAATTCCCTCCTATCATCTGTTTTATTACAAGATCTCATATCTTCACTCAATTGCAGAAACGTATTAAAGTCTTGTATTGGGCTTGTGCTCAGCGTCCACGATAAAAAATAAAACACGGCATATTAATGAAATTCATAAATACTTACAATCTTAATTCAACGCTTGTATCGTGAGCATAATTTAATTGATGAACGCATACATCGTTGCACACCTAGCACACTTAATAATTTTCGCTCATCTCACTTGTCTCAACAAAATTGCCAACCGCTAAAAGGCACTCCGCTTTGCTGAATTGCTGGAGAATTCTAAATAAATATATCTGAACCCGCAAGCTTTGCTCGTACGTTTGTGTGCCCTCTGTTATGACTGTTGATTTGGGTTCAATAAAAAAAAAATATATACATACATATGAATCTCACGGCTAACGTGGTGTTCCCGCGGTTGCAGAGAGGAGCCGTGCCGGGTGGTGGCGTACGCTGGAGGCCACCTGGCGGCGCTGGGCTCCATTGACCGGCACGTGCGGCTGCTGGACGTGGAGCGAGCCAAGGAGGTGCCCCCCGTGATCCGCGGCCACGCGGGCAGCGTCCGCGCTGTCCTCGTGTGCCAGGAGAGGGGCCTCCTCCTCAGCGGCAGCTACGACCTGAGCATCAGGTGTTTTTTTTAACGCTTTCCAACTGAGTTGGAGAGCGTGAATGCAATTAACCACAGTCTGTACATCCGTCCGTCTGTCAGTCGGACCATCTGTCTGCAACAAGGAGTAATGATTGTTATCGCAAAGATTATCTAATGTAAATGGAAATTTAGTTTGGAGTTCTGTTGCTGTTCGACACTTACCCTTTAGAAAAATGGCAAAACTAGCAGACAAACCAGAGCCAAAAATATGCAATCGCATTTTGCCCTGACAGCTACCCATCGGCTTCTTTACTGCGAATAAATAGTTTAAAGGACAAACACATGTTGGACACTGTTACGGAATCCATGCACAAGCATGCTTGTTATTTTATTTTTCGGGCCTTCCCAAATTATTCTAATTGTGCTCTCAGCATCACATCTCGAGATGATTTGTTTATTCAGAACGATTGCTTAAAGCATCGCATCACCCATCGTTGTAGAACAGCCTGCGAGAAGTGATGTGAAATTAACTTCAACATGTAACGCGCCGCAGAGCATCCACTCACGCTCGTAGAGAGAGAACAACTCAGAGGCGCGAGGAGCCACAGACAAGCGGGAAGGCAGCACGTGATGAGCCGGTGCCAGCAAATGCCCAAGCTCTGCAGTCCTCTATATTAAGGTGTTATCGGCCAATTAATGAGTATTTATAGGTCAGAGGAAACTAGAGCACCCGGACAAAAACCACGTGTGCGAGGGGGAAACACTCTATCCCATACAGGCGGAAGGAAGTTTCAAGACATGTGATACACCAACCCTCGCCTCAACAATGCTGGATTACAGGCATGCACCACCACCACCCCGGTAAAAAAACAAGATTTGTTAAAGTGATGTTTTTTTTTACTTTATTGGGTGGTGTTGTAGGTCGTGGAACATGCACAGCGGTGCCTGCCTGCGGATTTTCCGTGGACACCAGGGCACAGTCACCTGCTTGGCCCTGCACGGAGACTGCTTAGTGTCTGGAGCCAAGGACGCGCATGTCAAAGGTGCTGCTCACATTCTGTGTACGCGCGGATATGCGGCAATGAGCGCCACTTGCTCCGAACGATCATCGAAGCGTACTAGGGCACGCGTCATTGGTGCTGACGTTTAGTGGAATCCATGGACTTGCGCCTGCTTATCTCAACAGCTGTGCATCGAAACTCACGAGTCCACGTCGAAGTCTGATAGCCAAAGGATAGCCTCGGGGGGAAGCTTAAAGGATGTCCGCAATGCCTACACTCACAGAATAATTCCTCAGTACAACCCATCTCTGTCACTACTATCATTGGCAATTTAACACATAGACTTTCACGACCAATATTAACCATAATAGAGGTTTTTGGGTTAGATCGCGTAAATATAAATGCGTCGTTAAACCCACCACCACCCGACACAGCCAATTAGTAAGGTTTGTCACGTAAACATAACATGCCAATTCGTTAGTAGTTCAGCATACCGTTGTGTTGGAGGGTAAACCCACAACATTTTATCATTCGAGTGTGTTGGAGAGTAAACCCACAACATTTACCAGTGGAATAAATGTTGTGGGTTTACTCTGCAACACAGCGGTGTGCTGAACTATCAACGAATTGACCGGCACCTACTGGACATCTGTGAAAAAGAGCTTCATAGCTCATCGGATTTCTCCAGGATAAAAAAAAAAGATTCTGATTCTGATGCTATGTGATTTCGCCTTGTGCCCTTTTTTTTTTGGAACGCAGCATCGACCGCGTAAAGCGATGGGAGGCCTGTGTTGTTTGTTTCCATGTTACGGCAGTTTGGGACATTCACACGGGGCGCTGCTTGCACACGCTCAAGCACCGGCGGTGCATCCGAGCGGTCGGGGCGAACGCCGGGCACGTGGCCAGCGGCTGCGAGGGAGGCCTCGTCAAGCTGTGGCACCTGGAATCCGGCAGCCTCATCAAGGTGAGCCCCACTCGCTCTCAAATCGTTCATTCGTCATGCTTATCTCGCGGCACTGTAGGGAAGTACTCCTCTCATTCTGTGCTCTGGACTCTCGACAGTTTGTACGCCGACAAAGTCAGCATGTGACGGTGAAGTGTTTATGATTGAGATTCGCAATTGAATTCAAGAATCATTGCGTATAGCGGCTGTGTGCCCGTGGCACACCACGTTAATGGGAGTAGAGTCACTGATATAATCTATAGAAAGAGAAAAGGAATGGGAGAGAGAGGGAAGAGATGAGAGAAAGAATTGGAGATGGGAGGAAAAGGATGGAAAAAGAAAGGATAAAGGGAAGCAAGGGAGAGATGAGATAGGAAGGAAGAGGCCTCGACTAATGCATGAAGCATCGTCTGTTTTCACAGGGGGCGGGGAGAGTGAGGGATTCAGAGTGGGGGTGGCCACATAGAAGTCACGTGATTCACAGGAGGCTTGAGCGGATTTAGATATGTAAATGGTGGTGATGGTGGTGATAACAGTGATTGTGATGGTGGTGGTAATGGTCATAGTGGTAATGTTGATAGTGGTGGTGGTGGTGGGGGATGTTGTAGTGGTGATGGTAACAGTGGTGGCAATGGTGGTAGTAATGGTGGAAGCCAGAGTAGCAGTTATTGCGCTACGCTAAGAACCTGGCGACCCGAGTTCGATTCCCACTCACGGCCAACATGTGACGATTTTCTAAACCGGTCCTGGGCCTTCCCTAGATCAACTCAGCCTCAAATGAGTACCTGGTGCGGTGTATAAACATCATCACGAGAAAAACGCAGCCGGGCGTGTTGCTGGCTATCCACCCCCTCGTGTGCCGTGCCGACCTTCATAGCTGCTCGCTAACAGCACTTGCCCCAAAAGTCTGTGAAAGATATAAGGGGGGTCTATGTCCTTGTAATAACGCTAGTGGTACTGGTCATGGTAGTTATGTTGATCATGGTGGTTATGTTGATCATGGTGGTGGTGCTGGTGGAGGGGGATATGGTGATAGTGTTGTTAATAGTGGGGGGTGATGGTGGTAGTGGTGGCCGTAGTGGTAATGTTGATCATGGTGGTAGTGTTGATAATAGTGGGGGTGATGGTGGTAGTGGTGGCCGTAGTGGTAATGTTGATCATAGTGGTCGTGTTGGTAATAGTGGGGGGTGATGGTAGTAGTGGTGGCCGTAGTGGTAATGTTGATCATGGTGGTAGTGTTGGTAATAGTGGGGGGTGATGGTGGTAGTGGTGTTCATAGTGGTGATGTTGATCATGGTGGTGGTGCTGGTTGGGCGGGATATGGTGGTAGTGTTGGTAATAGTGGGGGGTGATGGTGGTAGTGGTGTTCATAGTGGTGATGTTGATCATGGTGGTGGTGCTGGTTGGGCGGGATATGGTGGTAGTGTTGGTAATAGTGGGGGGTGATGGTGGTAGTGGTGTTCATAGTGGTAATGTTGATCATGGTGGTGGTGCTGGTTGGGCGGGATATGGTGGTAGTGTTGGTAATAGTGGGGGGTGATGGTGGTAGTGGTGTTCATAGTGGTAATGTTGATCATGGTGGTGGTGCTGGTTGGGCGGGATATGGTGGTAGTGTTGGATTATAGTGGGGGGTGATGGTGGTAGTGGTGTTCATAGTGGTAATGTTGATAGTGGTGGTGCTGGTTAGGCGGGATATGGTGGTAGTGTTGGTAATAGTGGGGGGTGATGGTGGTAGTGGTGTTCATAGTGGTGATGTTGATCATGGTGGTGGTGCTGGTTGGGTGGGATATGGTGGTAGTGTTGGTAATAGTGGGGGGTGATGGTGGTAGTGGTGTTCATAGTGGTGATGTTGATCATGGTGGTGGTGCTGGTTGGGCGGGATATGGTGGTAGTGTTGGTAATAGTGGGGGGTGATGGTGGTAGTGGTGTTCATAGTGGTGATGTTGATCATGGTGGTGGTGCTGGTTGGGCGGGATATGGTGGTAGTGTTGGTAATAGTGGGGGGTGATGGTGGTAGTGGTGTTCATAGTGGTGATGTTGATCACGGTGGTGGTGCTGGTTGGGCGGGATATGGTGGTAGTGTTGGTAATAGTGGGGGGTGATGGTGGTAGTGGTGTTCATAGTGGTAATGTTGATCATGGTGGTAGTGTTGGTAATAGTGGGGGGTGATGGTGGTAGTGGTGTTCATAGTGGTGATGTTGATCACGGTGGTGGTGCTGGTTGGGCGGGATATGGTGGTAGTGTTGGTAATAGTGGGGGGTGATGGTGGTAGTGGTGTTCATAGTGGTGATGTTGATCATGGTGGTGGTGCTGACCTCTCATCAAGGTTCTGGAGGGTCATCGAGGAGCCATCACAAGCCTTGCTCTGGACGCATGGCACCTCGTGACAGGAGGCGTGGATGGATTCGCCATGACCTGGAGCATTCTGGGAAGGCACAGACTCTCCATTGCAGCTTTCAGGCATCCCCGGTAAGGCTCGTCTTTAGCCAGCATGTCCTGAGAATCACCACGATGGTGCCACGGTGGCGAGATGTTTACTACCTCGCCTGGTATACAGGAGGTTGCGGGTTTGATCTAGACCCTGACACCGGTTTTTCCCTCCACATTTAGAAGCATCCATTGGAGTATTCGGCTGCGATAAGTTTCCATGTGATAAGCCACTTTGTTGAGCTATCGTTTGTGATCGCTGCTGTAAAATAACTGTATAGCTCAGTGGGCCTTACCTGGTAAAATAAAAATAGTTTAGTTCATAGTTCATCAATCAATACATTTATCTGTACATTAAAACCAGCAGGAACAGCGATACGAATATAACAGTATGAATATACATTCTCAAAAGGCAATTTGTAAAAATGAGCCTTGTGATTTGTCTTAAAAATAGCAATGCTCGTAAACCTCTTAACATGCAAAGACAATGGTCATTACAGTCTACGTGCAGCACAAATGGCTCATGATGGGGAAGGTATTCAGAATCCTGATGATGCTGAATGACAACTATTTGTAACAATCGCAGTAGTTTTGGGTATATATGCGTGAAATAGACACTCATAAAACATGATGCATTGTAGACTTGGAATGGTGCATTTGATGGTTAACTGTGAAGTCAATCATGACCTTTATCGTAATGCATTTGCATTAATGTATCTTTTTATAACCACACAGTTGTCATCTTTGAAATATATGCCTTTTTTATATACCACATTCATCAAAGGTTAACTTAGAATATTTTCATTTTTAAATGAGCACCATTGCACCTTCCACATATGTGGAAAACCTGTCCTAAAATGAACAGGTATAGTTCAGGGCACATTGTTTAATGTATTATTCATCAGCAGCAGCAACAGCAAAAGCAGCAACAGTAACCATCATTATCATCATCATTATGATCAGCAGCAGCAAGTGTCATACGTATAATCATCATCAGCCTTTGCAGCATCAACACCGATTTGATCATCAGCATCACCATCAGCAACAACAACAACAGCAGCAGTAATAGCACTATTCACAAAAATTCCAAAGCCCATTGAGCCGGCATGTCTCTTTAAAAGGTGGAGATCCAATTAGATACGAGGACACGAGTTCACATGATGCTGCGGAGAATGAGAAAGGGTGTGAGAGAGAGAGAGAGAGATGGAGAAACATTTCACGTCATTGTTTTCGAGTACCCATTGATAAAGATTAACAACCGCATCGGAGGGGCTGTGTGGACGTGTGTACAAAATTCCCTGGCACGGTGTCATGACGGGTACTGCAAGATCCGACCACGTCCATCCAGTGCTTGCCGGGCTGCATTGGCTTCTGCTTTCCGAATGAATACATTATAAGGTCGCACTCATTACACACCAAGTGCTTGCCACAATAAAACCACAATACCTCGCCGATCTCGTCAAGGAGCATAAACAATCAAGCAAACTACGGTCATCCTCGCAGCGGCTTTTGGCTAGCCATCGAACAAAGACGATCACCGCATCACACGCTTTCAGGGTCAGTTCTGTGGCCGTCTTGAATATGCTCTTACTTCCGATGTTAAGTAGCTACTGGAGCTATGAACTTTAAAATCTAGATTTAAAGCTAATTTCTTTCGAACTGTTTTTTGTGTTTAATTTGTTGTGCTTCACCAGCACCTCCGATTAGCACGGTTGGCTATGTACGGTGTGAAAGAAGGTCAACATACACACACACACTTGAATATAGCGTGACCGCGAGCATTAACCCGAGCGAGCGTGGGTCTGCGTGCGAGTGCAGGGAGGTGCTGTGCGTGGCCCTGCTGTACCTGCGAGTCGTGACCGGCTGTGCCGACGGCAAGATCCGCGTGTTCAACCTGCTGTCTGGCGACTGCCTCCGTGTCATGCGGGGAAACAGCCACTCCGAGCCGATCACTTACCTGGCCACAAGTGACAGCAGGTGTCTAAACTGAACTTAAGAAAACATATATTTTTTATTTTACCAGGTAAGGCCCCACTTAGCTATATAGCTCTTTTTCAAAAGTGACCTGGCCACAAATGATAGCCCAACGAAATGGCTGATCATGTGGACATTTATAGCAGCCAAATACCCTAACTGCACGTTTATAAACGTGGAGCGCAAAACCAGAGGATCCGGAGAAAAATCCACACAACCACGGGGAAAGAAACACCACAAACTCCAAATATACAGGCGTCAGGGTTGGGATCGAACCCATCGACCTCCTGCATACCAGGTGAGGCAGTTAACATCTCGCCACCGTGGCGCCCCTGTCCCGTGACATCACACTCCAGGGTGGCAGGGTGGTGGCGCAGGGGGAACACTCGTGTCTCACAGCAATAAGTTGCCGGGTTGGATTCCCCCTCCTCGGTCACCTTTCTGTATGGATTATCTACGTTCTCCCCCTTGTTCTGCCTGGGTACCCTCCGGGTTCTCCAGATTTCTCCCATAGCTATAAACAAAACCTACAAGGTAACTAGTATTGGTCCAACACATTCCAATTCTGACAAAAAAAAAACACACACCTGCAGATGTTTCAATTGGGATTACACACGGTAGCATCGCCCCTCTTACTACGAAAATTTAGTCGCACACTCCTAAAAAGGAGTCTTGAGACTCAGCGAGGCTTTCCTGGGTAAACAAGCGTGATGATGATAATAATGACATCGATGCTCAAGCCAAACACAACATTCACTGTGAATATAACTGCAAAGTAGTGAAATGCACATTACTCAGCACTCATTTATATATTGTACGCATATATCGATAAAAAGTCAATACTTTGGAAGTATTTTAAACAGTATAAATGACTCTTGATTTGAAGCTTTCGTGACTGCAAGGATTCATACTCTTTGTTTTTTTTCGGTAAAGTCACCTATGTGACTTTACCGAAAAAAACAAATAGTAGTATAAATTATTCTGAATCACGTATGCTCTCAGAAAAATAAAACATTTGTGTGACACTAAATTATGAGCTACATAAAATGTATATGCAATAGTAACAACAATTACCTAGTTATATGCAGGTATCATCATGTGTACAGCCCTAGGACCTCCCCACGCCATGTGGGTCGTGGGCATTATCTCACCATTCTTCACCACGCCGGTAAGTGCGAAGTGGTAAAGGCATGGGATCATAGAAAGTACAGGACAACTATGGATTGTGCTGCACTGCCCTCTGCTGCTCACAGCATAACCCCTTAGCAGCATGTTGGTCCCTCATCTTAGCACTATCCAGTCTCAGCCCCTCTTAGTTTCCAAAATATGATGTGATCGGGCCTGATTCTGTAGACTTGTTCGTGAAGCGGAGACACGAATATGTATGTATGTATGTTAAACTTATTTCGCACTGTACGTACGATACACCTGTGCTACATAAACACATCACAGATATACAAATACCACAGTGAATATACCAAACAGCGGCGTGCCCTGACTGGGAAGTGGCCCTCCCGTTGCCCGGCGCGTCTGTCAGGCTGCTGATCAACACGCCGACGAGCGTGCTGGTGTTTCAGTTTGAAGACGTGCGGTGGGATTACGACGCGGCGAGCGAGTGCGTGGATAAAACGACGGTCGAAGAGGAGGAGGAGGAGGGAGAGGAGGAGAAGCCCGGCAATGAGCCGGCAGCGCCAGCGCCGCGGCGAGTGCCCACGCGAGCCCGGCGCGTCCGGAAACCTCGCTCGGCGTTACTGGGCAAGACCGCGGCAGCCGGGACGCATCCGCATCCACTGCTAGGTGCGCCTCCGATCGCGGTGTAAATGGACGAAGTTACCCCAGCGTCAGTTTAAAGCCCGTGGGCTCTCCTAATCCGAGCCACTCATAATCTCTTGAGTGGTAGGCCGCACGTTGAGCGTTGTATATGCCCTACTGGGCTTTCGCCACCACGAGATATCGCGGGGAGTCTTCACGAGTTGACGCATTTGCTGAAGCGTCGTTTCTCTTTGTCATGTGAAACCGGAGTCACGACGGAGCCACTATCAAAGTGTCTCTCATGTTCGGTCGAGCACTGGAGGGCACTTGTCTTTGTCGGTGGCCCTAAACTTGTGCTGTGGTGGAAATCAAACGTGTTTATAGCACGGGACCTGTCTAACCACAGGGCAGCCACTGTTGATGCATTACATAGTGGTACTCTTTTATCGTGTCCTGGAAGGATTATGGAATGAGTCAAACTCTCACTTGGATTTTAAATTCTCCTTGTGAGTCGGGTGTCGTGCAACCACTGCCACCTGTTCAGTTCAGCCGTAATGGTGGACCAGCCACTGTGTTACAAATAACAAAAACATCCACATTGTCTCGACGATTAGACCGATGGCTTCTCGTAGCCCTGAGCCAGTGATGTGAATTCCGCATTCCTATGGTGGGGACCAGTATGTCTAAAGGATAACCCACTGTTAAAATTCCCACTTCGCGCTAAGTTAAACGTACGTATTATGCACCAAGTGCCGATGATAACGACAACATTTTTACCCAGGATGCACCCGATCTCGTCAGATCTCGGACGGTGAGCAGGGTTGAGCCCGAATAGTGCTTGTATGGGTTGCCACCATGCGCAACAGGTTGTTATAGGGCTTGCGGGGCTATGTGGTGGTCAGCAATGGGCAGTGCAGGAAAATGAACTTGTACTTTGTGTCACGTCCACGTCTGTGCTCCACACCTCTGCTTTTTGTGTTTAGTTTGTTGTTCTCCCCGCACCTCGCCGCCGCAAACCCCGCACCTCCGATTAGCATTGGTTGGCAACGTACAGTGCGAAAGAAGTTCAACATACGTACATACTTCCACCAACCGGCACTGACCAGTGTGGTGAAGCATATTCAAATAACCCCTCCATGACCCGCACGTCTTGGGGATATCCTCATCCAGGAGTAGATTGACAAAACGGGTCTGTGTACATGTACACGTGTACTAAGCAGTACTCGTTATAATGTCTGTAGAGTGAAGGTTTTGCTTCACCCCTCTACCTGGGATTTGAACGCGCAACGTTCCAGTTTATCACAGATAACAGCCATAATAGAGGTTTTTGAGTTAGATCGCGTAAGTATGAATTTTTCGTTAAACCCGACACCACCCGAACAGGTAATTAACACAGTGACGACATCACATGTATCCCTCTGTTTAAGACCGAAACAGGAGGATGTATTCACAACTCTAGCTGTCGCCTGATGAGGCTGGTTGTAATTACTGGCGAAACGTCATACTTGAATGATAAATGTTGTGGGTTTAGTTTAACACGTAAGCTTCCGCGACCAATATCCATAATACAGGTTTTTTGGGTTAGATCGTGTAAATATAAATGTGCCATTAAACCTGCCACCACTTCCAATTAGTAAGTTTTTTTTCACGTAAACAGAACGTGGCCAATTCGTTACTAGTGCAGTACACCGGTGTGGTGGAGAGTAAATCCACAACATTTACAATCTGAGTACGACGTTTCGTCAGTAATTACAATCGGCATCAATCAGGCAGCAGCCAGATTTGTGGAGAAATCCTCGTCCTGTTTGGTTCCTTAAATAGATGGGTAGATGTGATGAGGGGTAGATGTGATGACGTGTGAGCCCTTCTTGAGCGAAGTGGGGGGGAGGATTAATGAATGCGTATAAATTACAATGGGTATCCACTACCGGTTGGCTTGTTCATTATTATACATTCATATTTACGCAATGAAACCCCCAAAAAACCCGTGTTATGAATGATATTGGTCGCGCCAGCCTACGTGTTAAAGATAACAGCAATATGCAAAGCTACCATTAATCCAGAAAAAAGTTATCGTCCATGGCTGAGCCTTCAAGTATGCAACAAGGAGTGTTGGCCAGTGAGTCAGTGCCACCCATGTTGAGAATCCCTCCTCATAGCGCATTGAAAGTGAATCTTTTGACATCAAAGGTACTGGTGTGTGTACATAAACAGTGTCGACAGTATTAGTAACAACATTATACATGGGTTGATAAAAGTTTGTAGAATTAGTCATGCAATATGTTGCAACAGCTAAATGCTTATTTTGTGGCCCAGTTTGTATCAATCACTCTATGAATCTCTGTCAGATGTTATGATAATTGTAAAACTAGAGTGTGTAGCGTTTTAATTGTGACATCTATATGAATAATTCGTGTTTGCACATATGTTAATAATCATATACGTTTGAAAATAATTATATTAAAAACGAAAAAAATATGTCAGATTCAAATATCAAATGTTTTCATTTCAAATATATTGAGATAATGGAATACTGTTTAATTCAAGAGAAGCATGTGACTTCCTTATTGATGCACTGTTTTTTATACATATTTATTTTGTTATTCTAGAGAGAGGACACACCGCATCACTCCCTCTGTCACAAGATGTCCTGCACAGCTTTGATCTCCACTGGCAAAAGAGGCCAATGACAGCAGATCAAATATATCTCAAGATCTCTGCAATGCGGCAGAAGCAGAGCTCAGAGCAGCTTGGCATCAACGCCGAAAAAAATCACCAGCCAGGGATGCTGAACACAAAAGGGCTTAAACTGGATCCAATCAAATCGACGGCGGTCCAACCATCGCCTTTGAAATCTCCCCAAGTGGAGCTTTCGCATTCCACGAGTTCGGAGGCGATTGCTCTGCTCAAAGCAGAACGCCCTAAGTCACCGTGTCCAAACGGCGTCAGGCAGAGCCAGGATTCCACAGCGCACGAACGCGGCAAGGCGGCACGAAGCAGCGTCGGCTCGCCCGAGCCGTCGGTTCCGAACGTCGCGCTGGGGAAGCTGACGTTCGTGAAAACCGTGGCGACCCCTTTGGAGGTGCTCGACTCGAAGCCGAAGCGAGAGCCGAGCGGCAGAGTGGCGAGCTCCTCCGTCCCCCGGCCCCAGCTCGCACGGGCCCTCACCAGCCTCGGCTTCTGCGAGACACCGGGCAGCGCGCGGTGCGCGGCACGGGCCCGGCCCCGCTCGGTAACCTCGGCCTCCCCGAAGCTGCACCGAGTCGGCGGGTTCACCACGTCGGCCGAGCGGCCTATTGGCGACACGAGGATGCTCTTCCATCCCGGGCACCCGGGCGCTGGCGCGACCCCGAGCCGGGTGGGGTCCGCCGACAAAGGAACCCGCCGCCCCCTGGCCTCGCCGAGTCGCTTAGCCGAATTGAGGTCTTGCACCGGGCGGTCCCAGGGGCAGCAGCTTAGCAGGGAGGCTCAGAGCCAGGCTGCGGCAGGCGTAAGGCAACGCGTGGTGGACAGGCAGGATTTGAGCAGGTGCCGCTCTAGCAAGTGACGGGTCATAACGCGCATTTCTGATTTAGGAAGTTGTGGAGAAGTAAGCAATGGATGCATGCACACTCTACTGTGACGGGATTGCACCGCAACGAGCCCCGGTCATAAGTACGTCAAGCTATGAATGTGCACCTTTAGGTGTAGTAATGGCTGGCACTGTTTCAAGAGGCAGAGGCAATAACCCTGGTATGGTTGTGACTGAACAGTTGTATCAAGTCACTCAACTCTCATGCTCTCCCTCCCTCGTGCTTAAATTGACTTTCTCGCTCTCATTTTATCCGCTTTGGCTCTTGTCAAATGTCACAATACGAGTGGCCGAGTGGGCTCAGAGTTCAGGACACTGAGCTGGCACTGCGGAGGTCCTGGGTTCGAATCCAAACGACAAATTTGGTTTTACATTTAATTTTACGACATAATTAAACATAAAGTTTGTTTGTCACGCAACAAAGTGGATGGTAAGGTGTTGCCCTCGACTTTGTGGATCAGAGGTCACTCGAAGGGATTTCAAGAGGTAGTTCTGTGACATCCCCTTCCGTGGGCTATTCTCGAACACAAAAAGGTTTGCAGCATGTGCTCAAGAAAGAAAATGTCATCTGCACACGCAAAGGATGCTGGGATTCGTGTTGTGTTTTCGGTTGGGAAACAACTTTTTTTGCATTTATAGTTAGTGCTCTTGGTGTATCTGTTTTACACTCGTTGCTGTTTTGTCAGCTTATTCCCATCTCTTGATTTATATACAGTCTCTTTGTTAGCGTGCAGTTTACAATGTTAGTTTAATGGCACTTATAGAAAAAAAATTGTTCCGTGCATTGTAGCAACAATCAATAAATGTATTAGCCGGATATAATACCATCTTTCTCAGTCCCAGTCATTATAAGACGCAATTGCATTGCTATAAAAACAAAGACACTGGTCTACAATAAGGTATACATATCACTTGTCAGCTGATGTAAAACAATATCTGCTATGCGTGGCATTGTAATATCAGTGCTTATAAAAACCAAGCACTTGATGATTTGTTTTGTTAAAGCCATGTGATGCTTGTGGGCTCTCATTGTAATTTAATAAATTATACTTTCATGCATGAAAATCTCGGGCTGCATTTATTCACGCAATCCAAACGAAATAAGCAGTATTCTTAGCTCTTTCGGTAAAGTCACGTTAAAGGGAAACAATAACCGTTTGCGTTATGGTCGAAACGTCGTGAGAATTTTTATTGTTTTATATATTTTATTGTTTCCCTTTAACGTGACTTTACCGAAAGAGCTAAGAATATGAATTACTGCAGTCACGAAAGCTTTCAATCAAAAATAAATAAGCAGTGTTGTATAAAACCTCAAGATATGCTAGCTTGATTTGAAGCTTTCGTGACTGCAGGAATTCATACTCTTTGGTTCTTTTGGTAAAGTCGCGTAGATAGAAAAAAAATAACGAATAAATCACGACGTTTCGATAGCAACACAAGCCATCGTCTTCAGGTGAAACAATGCAGCAGGCGGACTGCTGAGGAGGAAATTTCACCCCCACCCTCTCGCCCGTTACGGCAGCCCCCCCCCTCCTCGGATTAGCCGAGGTCACCCACCCCTACCCTCTCTGCGATTACATTCACTTGCAAATTCCATCCCTGGTCCCGCCCACTTACCCTTGGGTTGTCCCCACCACAAACGTATATAGCCTTTGGTTGCAGTAGCTCTCGCGCTACATTTCCTCCTCAGCAGCCCGCCTGCTGTATTGTTTCACCTGAAGACGATGGCTTGTGTTGCTATCGACAAGTCGTGATTTCGTTATTTTTTTCTATTTACGTGACTTTACCGAAAGAACCAAAGAGTATATATGTTCGCTTATTGGCCTCCCAGGCTGATCTTAACCGGTGGAACTGGACCGGTTTCACAAGACTGAGACGCAGTTGTAGAGTCTTGCATGATAAATACCGTACTGATGGTATCATCATTATCACGATCCTAGCCCGTAGGCGTCCACTGCACACTGCACATTTTGTCATTGGACTGACCACCATGGTATTGGCGAGAGACGTCTCGCGACACCGTGTACCATTTGCGAAGACAACATAACATGTTACCCAGTGCTGCAGTAGAACATTGTGGGTAATACTTATGTTGTCATTTTCTTTTTAATTGCCGAAGGGTCACCTAAAAAAACCATTCTTGAATTGTTTATGAGAATGAATTAGTTAACAGCATGCGTGGCTCTGAGTTATCTTAAATACCTGAAGGTTGGTAATGGCCACGGTTATTTTGTTGATCAAGCATGTATCAGCAAAAAAAGCAAACACGTAAACAAACATATGGCATGAGTAAAAACCTTTAAATGACTATGGTTGAAAATAAACTTTGGAACAATGAAATGGAACAAACAGAATGTTACCAAACGCGTGTCTTCGCGCTCTCACGCGGCAAAATGACACAAAAATCGACGCGGTTCGACACGAAATATACGCATTCTAAATATGACTGCACGACAAGACGCTGCGCAGAACCAGTTGGGAGTTATCCAGTTCAAAGAGAGGAGGTCGTATGCAGGGACAGAAAAAAAACACCGAGGTCTTTGAGCCTAAATTCGAGTTGATGCATCTTTTTTTTCGGAACAGCAAACCGCAGGTAAGCTACAGAAGGCGCTCTCGTGTGTCAGAGCTTTGTGCACCTGCTGTTCGCTCCCAGTTCAACACAAATTCGCCCGATTAACACGTCGCAGGCTTTCGCGACCAATATTAAATGACGTCACGCACCTGGGGAGTGGGGTGGGGGGTCAGAGATTTGCGGCGATGTGTGACGAAAGGGGGGGGGGGGGGTTGAGAAATGTGACGTCACATCAAAATGCGCAACTTGAAATAAATATAGACAACACGTTCTACTTAATTAAATAGACTTTTTATAAAAATTTTCTCCTGCAACATCAGAGTGCAGCGCCACATTAAATACGCACTACAATGACAATAGTTTAAAGCGATTTGAAGCATGTTTAATTTTTTTTTGGGGGGGGGGGCAGAGCTTTGTGACGTCATATTTGAGGGGGGGGGTCTGACTTTTTGTGACGCCGTGTTACGAGGGGGGGGGGGGTCAAAAATCGTCCAAAATCGCGTGACGTCATTTGTGGACGACCCCTAAACAAAACATGCCAATTGGATAAATAAATAACTATTTGTTTCCGGCCAACGGGTCTATTAGACCAAGCCTCGCTGTCGGCTTGCCGGTACGTGTCAACATTCAGTCGGACCCCTCTCAACAAATCACCCCTGTGAACGACTAAGCGCTTAACGACGGGCCTCCATAGAGCCCAATGTGTAGTGTATAGCGTAGTGTACGGTAGTGTATAGTGTAGTGTATTGTAATGTAGTGTAGAGTGACCCCTTGTGTTCGCAAGGGGTCACACCGGCGTCTCGAGTGCCCCGTTTGACCCACGCATCACGACGGGGGCCGACCACGGTGGATGGCGCCATTCCTTCGAGGGTCGCAGTCCACTTCGAACGGCCCTTGGGTCCCGGCGCGACGCGTCCACAAAGCCGACGGCAATCTCCCTCTCGAACTGAGCCCTCGATCGCCTGGAGACCGGTCGCAGACGCGACGGTGACATCCCTGACAAGAGTCGAACCATCGGATGCCCCAGAAGGCGTCTTTTGGATCGCGCGTGGAAGGACTGCGACCGATCCAAATCAGCTTGAAGCAATGTCCAGGCCTGCACAACATACAATAACAAAACTTATAAATACACAGCAATGGTGGACTCCCAATATGATGTTTGGCCAACAAATCAATGTGTGACTTCATAAGGGAGGACGAAACGAGAGAATCGGATAAAAACCAAGCACAACACATGACGAGGGGTAACCCTGGATACTGCTACCCCCTGTCCACATCGCAAGTCGCAAGTACCCTGGCAAGAACTGGCGGTTACCCATCTAAGTACCAGCCAGGTTCTAACCGGCTTATCTTCAGAGGGCCAAGAGAGCCTGCACATTCAGGGTGAATCTTGACTTAAAGCTTTGGTGACTGCAGGAATTCATATTCTTTGGGTCTTTCGGAAAAGTCACGTAGATAGGTTCAAAGAAAAGAACAAAAACTATGTTTGGATCGCAACACAAGCGATCGTCTTAATTTTCCTGATGACGACCGCTTGTGTTGCGATCGAAACGTCGTAGTTTTTTGTTATTTCTTTGAACCTATCTACGTGACATTACCGAAAGACCCAAATAATACATTCAGGGTAGTTTGGTTGGAGGGGGGAAAACTCGCAGATACAAACAGCTCCACACACACATAGTCTGTTACTCTGGCCAACTTGCAGCCAAAATCCTATAGCACCTGGTATTCACTGGCAGTCACCTCGCCAAGCACTAACCAGACTTGAACCTGCTTAGCTTCTGAGGTCTTACACTATTACTCAATATATTCGTGGCAATTTGGTTGTAGGCACACATTTAAATTATTTTTCCAAAATATGTTTTTTTTTAATATATATAAATCCTTTACCCTCAATGTTACTCACTTTCCTGGTTGCATGGTCAGAGGGGCAGTGGGTGTCATCTCAGTAGAGACCAAGAGGGCTTGGGGGAGAGGGGAGGGTAGCCATGCATTTCCCTACAACAGCCGATTGCCTGCATGCATTGCTGTTCCATAACGTCTGCAGTTTAATTGCAATTGTTAGAGAGCAATTTCATGCGGGTGCACGTCGACTCATGTGACATCTCGCTCTGTTTTCCCCCGCAAAGCATTGCAAGCGAAATCTTCCATCTCCGAAGGATGTTTCCCGGTGCGACAATTGATGAAATAAAAATGTAAACAAAAAACTTATTTTAACTTATGAATCAGATTGAGCGGCGTCCATGCGCCTGCGTGAGTCGAAGAAAGTCGCGTGGGCAATACCCCAATCCTACGGATGCATGCAAGGCTGGCTGAGTGCAGCGTGATTGAATCAACAGCGTGCGCAAATGCTTTAAAGGCGTGCCCAACGTCATCAAAACCGATTAAGAATGAAAGAACGTCGGCTTGAAAAATATAATCAAGCGTGATTTTTCCGATGTTGTTACTGGAGGACAGGTCTGGTCTTTGACGTTCTTGCCAAAGGCAGCCTCGAACTTAACATAATACGGCGAGCTATTTGCAGGAAGTTACTGCAATATAATACCGCTTAAAGAAATATTTCCACAGCTTGGAGCAATTGTCACGCGTTCGCTGAAGATGGTGAGCGACCGCCTTGAAAGTGTTGAAGTGGCCGTGCGAGCAGGGCAGAGAGAGAGGACACCGGGTGAAGATGAAACCACAGCCACACACATGAGAATAACAAATTGCGAACGGTTCTCTAAAGTTAGCGATTTGTCACACCGAAGGCAAACAAAAAAAAAACACAGGGCTGCGAAACGTCGCTTCTAACGCAGTTCACTCCAATCGCGCGTTTAAAGCGAACGCCTCCTGCGCGTGAAACCCACGTGCCATTGTAGCTCACGTGTTTTGACTTGCGGCTGGTTTTTGTTCTCTCCCTGGCGACCGCGCTCATCTGCCGCGTATTTGTAAGTGCATGAGTCTTTTTTGTCGTTGTTGTTTAAATCGCTGCCGATGCTCGTCGAGGAAGACTTCGACCTCACCCCCCCCACCCACGCTTGTCTGGATGCCGTTGTCAATAATCGGAGGCGTGATTGAAAACTCACGCGAGCTCAATTTTTCACAGTGGGCTGACGGCCCTATACAAACTGTTGCGAGTCGGCGGGTGATGTTATGTTTTTATTTCTGCCGTTGCCATGTGGGGGGGGGGGGGGTCTCTGATTGGGATTGATTATTTTCTTTATCTGTCCCGCTGCTGGGCTGCGAGGTTCAAAAACTCGGCCCCATGCTCTCCCAAAGCGTGAACTTCCCGCTGCGCCGTCCCACGGCCTGGCTATGATGTCCCGCGGTGGCTGCTACGCGCACGCCTGCGGGTCCGGCACTGCGGAGGGAGCAGCAGCAGCAGCAGCGAGGGGGTTGGTGGATGGCACATCAAATGTTGCGAAAATTTCCCGGCGTCGAGGAGGCGCCGTTACACCCTGTCTCGCCACGAGAAGGTGATAGAGCAAACATATCTGGACTCCACCCGTTCCATCTGCATGGGGATAGAGTGTTTCCCCCTCGCACACGTGGGTATTCTCCAGGTGCTCCGGTTTCCTCCAACATGTAAACAC